GTACCCGGCTATGGCTACGGCTATGGCGCTTTTCTTCAGAACTGAAGAAGAGCAATAATAAGACTGGAAATCGAATAACTTTATTCGATTGTCAGTCTTAGTTTTTAATAACTCGTATCACTGCCAACTTCCTGCAATATATAACAGAGAACAGGAGTGGAATTCGAAACTTGCATTAAACGCATTGGAAGTCGTGCAGTGCATTCCACATTCACAACTGCCCACAATGCGGCATTTGCGCCTCACTTCACCAGCATAGCACGTTAACCCTTTGAACAAAATAGTCAAGTGATCCTTCATATCTTACGGACACAAAAATATAAACGTGAATTCAAAATGTAGTTTTATGATACCTTATTTGCAATCCATTTGATATCTTTAACTATCTTAAACTATCTTTATTTCATAAGCTGTTTGGTGCATTGCGAGGAGCATTATGCACACAAGTAAGGCAGTAGTAATAGCCTTATTCCTCGGAGAATGACCAGGAGAATGGAGATACAGTTGCGTTGATGTTTATGCAACATGCCTGTATCCAAACGAATAGCAGAAGTAAATCAATTATCATTTTAATCAATGAATTTCTAATAATATAATTCACTGCTGCTATTCGTTTCGACGAAGGCACGTTGCCAAAATATCAACGCATTTATATCTCCATTCCTTTGGTTCTTCTCCCAGAAATAAGGCTACAACTACTGTCTTGTCTTTACTTCAAAGAGCTGATAGAGTATCGGGAGACATGGCCCACATTGTAAAGGCCCAGCCTAATACAGCAGGGTCCAACCAAATAGAGCCCCAGCCCAACATGAGGGGAGGGGGGGGGGGGGGCAGCTCAATCTCGCGGGGGCGATGGCCACCCCAAGTAAATACAAAGTTCTACCCCAGGGTGCAGACGAATTACGATTTAAAACAGGACTGCGTTTGATGATTTGTAACTTGATGCCAACACGCATCAAGCAAGGCGGTACGTTACTTCAGTGAAATCCCACCAACCTCTGAGAAACGAATTTATTGGGCAGCGCTTCAACCACTGCCAGCTCACTGAGCATAACAAACTTATGTAGACAAATGCACGACTCTACTTCATTCATAAATGTTCAATATTGGCTGAATCACATGGACAACACCATTTGATTACGCTGAAAAGGTCACGCCATTATTTTGGCTGACCTGGGCGTCTCTAGAAAAGGCCGAAAACGAGAAGCGCTGTCCTACAATTCGAGTAACATACGGTAACTTTGTCATAAGAGCGTCTCGGTTTCAGAAGCAGATCGTATTACAAATGTAGACCTTAAGCACCCGGGCTGCTATACTTTGTCTCATCATGCTGGGGGTAGGAAGATGATCAAATATTGAATCATGAGCATAAGCCGGCAAAAGCATTAAACATTACCATTGTTTGCCCGTTTATGACCACCGGCTTTTGTGCCTCTGGTTGAACCATTTCAAACATTAAACATTTCATGTACGTGAAAACGAACACGCCCTCTTTCAGCACCGTTGTAATTCATAAGAATGCCACTGCATCGGCACGCTGGCTTTTGTTTTACACGCGACCCATACGTTCATAGCTCACCGGAGCAAGCCCATTGAAACGTTGGCACCTGATGCACGGAACAAACGTCCTCGTCTCTGGAACAGAGCTGATAATATTTCTAACTTAATCTACTCGTGATGACTCCGGTTTTCGTCAATATCCTCAAGCTGTCGGTGCTCTAGACATCGCGCGGACAGATTCTCTTCCGCCCACATACAACTCAGCACATCATAAAACGGGCTTCCACCGTCGTTCTCCGACGCTCAGGCCGAGGGTTCCACGACTCGTAGCACACCGCGCGGACATCCCTCCTCACGCACAAGGAAGACGTTCTGCTTCGAGAAGCAAAATATCCGCTCCATTATAGGCAGTGCACATGAGTGATCAGTATAAGCGAGACCGCCTACGGGGCTAGCGCATGCCTGCGCACCACGCCGCAGACCTCACTCTCGCCGACTCTTTCCTAATTCATAACTACTCTTTTCATAATGATTCATCTATGCTCCATCGGCTCGTTCTCGTTGACGATACTTGCCTATTTTTCATAATTATTCATCTATGCATCAGTCGTTGAAGACTACTGCGTCAGGTTTACAGCCAGTTACAAAGTTTGTGCGTCACTAAGACGCCACGGAGCAAACATCATGTGACGTCAGCCACGGGAGTAAGCAAGGGACTTCAACGGCGAAATTAGACCTCACACCACTGCCAAGCATGAGCAAAATTGTTAAAACAGCTATTCAAACTGCCAAGCATGAATAAAACTGTTTAAACAGCTAGTCGATGTGTTAGTAACGACTTAAACCAACTTTTGAACAAACAGGGAATTTAGCAACGTCGAATGATCAGGTTTTACTAAAAAAGTGAGACTATTCATAAAGTACTAAAGCACGTGAACCCATACATACGAAGTACCAAGAATAAAGTATTCGACAAACGTGTGTTCGACTGTGGCGACAACCCACGGAAAGCCTTTCCATGCTTCTCAAAACAAGCTTTTGCACCCTTGACATTTTATATGTTAATGATGTTTAAAACATCCCGTGAGGTCCGTGAAAAGCATACAAATCATAAGTAGTTTAACTCACCGTCTTTATCGCTACTTGCGACCCATTTGATGCCTACCATCTGATCAGAAACCTCTCCAATGTGAAATATGTCAAATGACTTAAAATCTCAGAAACGGTCAAGAATCTTTAGATGAAACAAGGTGATGAGCACGGCAGGTTTAAATGAAGAACTGTGCCGTCGCAAATCAAATAAGTTTGTGAATATATGTAAAAATGTGCCTTAGATAAAAACGCATGTCTGCCCCGGTGGCTCATCATCATATCTTAAAGATGTAAACATCCGATTTAGAAGGGTAAAAGGATGGTCCATAAACAGGCAGCCATGGTACAGCAAAACATCCGAATCTGCACTCCCTTCAAGTTCTTGCCTGATTTTCTTGAAATGTTTACCAAATGTTTACTGTGCCATCCGAATAATCCGCTACACTGAACCTGGCGACCTCAAGCTACCATAGTGAGCTTCAAATGAACGGGAAGCCAAGGGATGTTGCTGCAGTATTCTCCAATCTCAGAAGCCGACCGCATGTCCTGGAATAGAGGTGCCTTTTCCCGATTTTTCAAATTGGCCCCGCGCACAAAACAGGAAATTCTGAGAGCCTATCTGGCACCAAAGGAGATCTTTTCAGCATAGAGATCTTTTCAGCATAGTCACAAGCGGCGGGGAGAAAAAAATTAAGTACGGTAGGTCGAAAATATTCACGGCGACGCATATTATGTACTTGAAGGTGGCAAAAACATCGCGCGTGCCCCTGATACGAGGATACACTGTGTCCCGGCGCATTTAATCATTTAGTCAAAGGAATTGAATTGACTAACAACTTTGGTGGATCCGTCATGTCAGGGTAAGCAGTGGCGTGGCCTGGATTTCACCCAGCAGGGTTCATATCGGGTCAGAGGGAATATTTTCAGTCACGGGGCTCTTTCTTACTATTGGGACTTTATTGTTTCATTCGGATAAACTTTTTCTGACTCGGGGCCCTATTCGGATGCTTTATGATCCATTTTCATGTTCAAGAACTCCTTCGAGGGCATTGAGTAGTCAGAAATTACTGGATACTTCGACCCTAGACAGCCTCCACCAAGACTGCCACAGAAATGCCCCTTACGCAACACCGAACATGCATAGGCGTAGCCACGCCGCAGTAAAGTCTGGCGTAGCACCGTCTGGCGTAGCAGCGTCTGGCGCAGCAGCGTCTAGAGCAGCAGCGTTTGGCGTAGCACTGCCTGGCGCAACAGAGTCTGGTGTAGCAGCGTCTAGCGTAGAAGCGACTTTGCGGCAGCAGTTTCAGCGCATGCAGGCAATAAATTCGGATGGTCCGGATTCGGCGCGCGGCTACCATGAATTTCAAGACATATAGAGTCAATGTTTCAGAAGATGATGATAGTCTCAAAACACCTGTAAGCAAAATTATCCAAAAGCATTCTTTTAATAACAGTCCAATGTGGCCTGGCCTGAAATCGGCGCTAGTGTGCTTCCAGTTCAGGGTACTGACGTCACGGAACCGGCCGGCGCCGTAGATACAATTTATTGTGCTCACTGTGCTCCCACCATCTCGCGGATGGGCGTGGTCCGAGAAGCTCACCCCCTGGTGACGCCACGCGGGAACGTAGGATTGATCATGGTACAAATATGGAACTGATTTCAAGACTCATTCGGCAATTTGGCACGCCGTGAGAGGCTAGTGGGGCACGGCGGACGGGCTCATGGACGAATATTGTCTAAACTATACTGTCTCCCGAGCAATCGGTAAAAGGGTCGTTGGGATTCTTCCACTCATTGCATGGGCTCGCAATCGGAAAGAGCGCGACGAGGACGTTCCTTTAATGAATGGATTTCAGGCTGAAACGGACATTTAGATCCAATGTCTTGCAGTAGAATTTCAAGGGAACTTATGCAATATAATGAGGGTGGCACCAATCATTTCTAGCCATAGTGTCCAGTCCAGCCCACTAGAAACTGGAAAAGCACGTTAGTACGCCTCGCCGTGTATGCCTGGACGGACGACCTCTCGGTTACGGGTCCAACGCACCACCAACCGCATCACCCATACCAGACCCACTTATCTCGTCAGCCAAACAAGCTCGCTAGTGGCGTCACTTTCAACTACATCTGCCGAGTAGAATTGGTTGCACAACTGCCACCGTGGAGCTTTAGTGTTGCAGCCAAGTCCTGCAGAGGCCCATTCCTCCAACGCCACAACACGCCACCTTGTGTGGGTAAGCCCACGCCATAAACATTCTCGAAACCAGCGTCACCAGATACACTGCTATGTTGGCCCCGTCATGGCCTACGCGATTTTCCACACTGGCGTGCACCCATCACTGCAGATCGTGACGCCAGCCGTACCACAGTCTGCACTGCGCACACAAGGTCGTCGGTATTGGCTCACGTGAATCAGTGGTAGCCCCGCGCCGTGTCCCAGTCTGGTCCAGAGCTGATGCTCCGAGGTCGGAGCGGCACCCGCAGCCTCCGCAGCTCAGTGTGCGCCACAGCGCTGCCTCTCACTGGGCGCACCCAGCCGCAGACGCGCACTTCTCCCTGGCGGGGCCGGCGACTGTCTGCGGCCGGCGCCACCTCCCGCCGTCGGCTGGCCGGCAGGGACGGCGCCAGGGACGCCCGGTTGGGGGGTGGTCACTGGCCCGCTCTCACCGGCTGGCCCTCCGCGCCGCCGTCACGGACGCGCCAACCAGGCGCCGCCCATCAGTGGCGTGGGATTGGGAGGGAGGTGGGCACAAGGGGCACGTGCCCTTATATCCGGAGGGCCCGGATGGACGGTCAAGGGCCCGATTTGAGAGCCCGATGGGCTCAAACATTTGGCAGACGGTCGTAACAGGCGTCCCAGTCTTGCGGGCCGGGCCATCAGATGCCATCCAGAGGGCCCTTTGCGCCGATTGGGGACTACTGAACCAATGAGGGCCTCTATATCGGTCAGGCACCACCAGAACCGAGCAGCTCCGTGTCAGTCTCGGCTGAAGGTCCATTTCTCAAGCAGTGACAAGGCTTGGGCCCGTGTTTACAATGGTCGTGACTCATGAGTCAATGAGGAACCCCCGGTTTTGGACAGGGGCCCACAGTGCTTAACGGTGGGTCCTGTGATGGCAAGTTACGCCGATTCGACTAGGGTCAGTGTTCAAAGAGCCCTGAAGAAAGGCCCAATGAACCCTTTGGGACCCACGATCGGGGGGCCGATCGCAAGGCCAAAGGCCCAAAGGGCTGGCCGCACATTGCATGAAGAACCCCAGCCCGAAGGGCCGCAATCAGCCATGCCAGGTCAGAGGGCCTCTTGCACCGAGTGAGCACTCCGTGGGATAATGCGGTTCTCTACGATGGCCAGAGATTACCATCACCAAACTGACGGCTCCGCGCCTGTCTGAGCCCCAGGGCCTCATTCCCCGAGCAGGGACAGCACGGGGCTCGCGATTGGCATTGGTCGGGGCTCCCGAAAAGGTGAGTGTCGTCTGAGCAGTATGTAGGAGACAGCATGAGCCTTGTCGGCCAGAGACCCACAGTGATCAACAGGGGGCTTGTTTTACATGAGGCCTTGGATTGGCCAAAGACCGCGCTCAAGGGGGCCGAATAGAGGGGAACGAAGAGGGGTGAGAAGGGCCCCTTCGGGACTCAAGATCCAGAGCCTGACTAGAGCGCTGAAAAACCCGAAGGGCTGGTTGTAGGTCGCGTTAAGAACTCCCCCTCGCAGGGCCGTGGCCTCAGATGTCAGTCGCAGGGTCTCTTACGCCGGTACAAGACTTCTGGGACAATGCGCGGCCCTACTTCTGCCAGAGGCTACCAACATCGAGCAATCGGTTTCGTCTCAGTCTGAGCCCCGGGTGTCCATTTCCCAAGTGGTGACGAGGGCGGGACACGCAATTTCCATTGGTCGGAACCCCTGCTGTCGAACCGAATCCAGAACTGAAACTGAATCAAGATCAGCTGAACCAAATCAAGATCATTGAATTGAATCTGGAACTGAATCAAAGGTCCTGCATCAGTTAGGGGCCCACAGTGCCTAACAGGTGCCTCTGCGCCGACAAGGGGTCCCAAGTCGGCCAGGGGAACATTTGTTGAGGACAGGGACTGAATCCCGAGTGTCGTCGGGTCTCTTGCATTGGCCAGTCTTCTGACAATGAAAGAAGATGTGAGGGCTTATGATGAGTCCACAATGAGACAGTGGAAGAGTCTTGTGTCAGGCAGGGCATTAAGTACAAAAGAGGGGGCCCTCTATGAAATTTTAGTAAGGGGCCGTTTAAGGGAGAGCTCCACATTTCGATGGGGTTTCGACCTGAAATAGCCGTCTCGAAGATCATCCGGTGCAGTTCACAGCCCTTCCCTTCTTAAACCTAGAATCCTCTAGCCACTGAGCTACACGCCCGTGAACATGTACAGACTTTTTCGTGGAGAAAATATCAATGTTACCGAGGCATCCATGGCAGCATAATGACACCATTGAAATCTCCCCCCCCCCCATTCCATTGGGCATGCGGCCATCAAGGTCAATAAAAATATGATTGTCGGGTCTCTCATACCTGACGTTTGTGAACACCATTTCCAGATATGACGGCCGTCAATTGGCTCTCAATCGATTTTGCGCAGGTTGCGATGGCGCAATTAGACAATGACGTATTGATGAGCATGTTTGCAAAATACGTGAATTGTGTTGTCTATGACAGTCTGTCACATCAGACACATGCGGCTTGATTAGCAGCACCCGTCTTCTCAAATTCCTTCGAAATAGCTCAGAATTTCTATTTAAGGTTTCTGACACTGCGTAAGAAATCTCATTTGGCTCATCGCTCACCCCTATAATACTAATGTGTTTTATTTGCACATATTTCCCAACGTGCGATTTCTGTAATGCTTGCAGCACACCGAGGTGTCAGAATGTTTGCGTAATAAATGCTACGAAAGCTTGAAACACTCTGTTTGGGCAAACAGGTAGGTTACCATGAAACTATGACCACCGCGAATTCAACGAAACGTTATACTATGTCTTTGATTGCACCCCTATAGCGTTTACCACAGTATGGGCGCGGGAACAGCGGGGGGGGGGGGGGGGGGCAGGAGGGGCGTTTTCTCCCTCCCACGTTTGAACTGGGGGGAGGCGATGCTCTTTTTACTTTGACCGGGTCAGGGATCACTTTGCATAGCAACTGATCCCTGACAGGGCTGATACTAAGGCTTTCATATGGCAAATCAAGTTTTTGTTCTTAAAGGAATTCTTGGAAAATGCGAGCCGGTTATGCTTTTCCTTCACAACGTTCAGAACAAAGCATTGTTTTTGGCTGCCTTCGGTTTTTTCCTTTACGTGTCTTCCGTGTTTTTGTGGAGACAAAGCTTCAACTTGGCAGCGTTTGACTGCTTTTGCTTTCCTGGTCAAGATAGTGCATTTACGGGCGGTGAATAGATTCTTTATCACCGTTACCAGCGCCATCATGTATGGTAGTTGTTGCCGTTGCCACCAGTTTGTTCCAAAATGACATGCTCAGAACAGCCGACGTTGTTCAGATTCTTCAAGAAGAACCCCACGCGCCAGGCACGAGCATTTTCTTTGGCTAAGCCTCACAGAGTTCATCACAGATTTGTCGGGAAAAACCGTGCCTATGTTCGGCCTGTTCGATGCCTTGAGTATAATTTATTTTAACAGGACAATGCGCGAGATATGGTGTCTACCGCCTGCAGGCTGCCTCACCATTTGTTTTCTGGGAAAAAAATAATTTGATTATTAAAGTTTGAAAATTCAGTTTTATGTATGCCGTGCTGCACCATCTTATTGCTGGTACCCTTCCATGGGTACCAATCCTCTACTACCAATCATCAATATTGGAGATCATGTGTGATCAGAATATTTGGCCATGCCTAAATCAAAACATTGTGTGTGCGTGTGCATGTGCATGTGCGTGTACATGTGAGTGTATTTGTGCGTGTGTGTGTGTGTGTGTGTGTGTGTGTGTGTGTGTGTGTGGTGTGTGTGTGTGTGTGTGTGGTGTGTGTGTGTGTGTGTGTGTGTGTGTGTGTGTGTGTGTGTGTGTGTGTGTGTGTGTGCGCGCGTGCGTGCGTGCGCGCGTGTGTGCGTGCGTGCGTGCGTGCGTGCGTGCGTGCGTGCGTGCGTGCGTGCGTGCGTGCGTGCGTGCGTACGTGTGTGTGTGTGTGTGTGTGTGTGTGTGTGTGTGTGTGTGTGTGTGTGTGTGTGTGTGTGTGTGTGTGTGTGTGTGCGCGTGTGTGTGTGTGCGTGTGTGTGTGCGTGGCAGCTCAGATTTGAGTGAAGGGATGGGATCCTGTTGGGCACCAATAGTACAGCAAGAACACCACCCTGTGTAATATCAGGCCTACCGCACTGGGTCCTTAATCTTTTGTTAGTGCATTTGCGAATAAGTACTGCTTTGCTCTGCTACTGTTTTCGCTGAAGCATGTAAGAGTTGAAACTGCACTGATAACTGTACCTGCAGGTGCCTTTCTGGAATCACGTAACTAGCCAGATCTGCCCAACACCCCTCCCCCCATGTTATAGACTAGGAAGGGGTAGATAGATATGGCAGGTGTCAGCGACATTGGTAGGGGTGGTAGGGTTGGATAAACTGGTGCGTTGTTGAATTTGTATTATCAAGGAGTTACCCACCTCAGCTAAAAAAAAAAAAAACGCTGCAGAAGTCAACATCTCCTCAGATAAACTAAAGACCTGTTACGCAACGACATAGCGAATACCCAAGACAGAATGTATCTAATCTCATGCAAAAGACGGTGTGCACTCAACACATTTGTAGATGCGCATATGACTGCAGTATATTCTTGTTATCCAACCTTGGGCGGTAGGCAGCTGATAACCAATTTGTAGGCAGTAAGCAGTTGGCCCCTTCGGTTGGTAACGAGAGAGGGTCGATGAGACCGCCTTAAGGGTTTCTGAGAATATATCTCCGGCATGTTGTACAACCGCGCCTAAATTTTTGTTGGCTGAAAGAGCTATTCTGGTTACCTGAACCGAAGTATAATGAGGCATATATTAGCTCTGATGCGTTAATTGCGCGTGTTTTGGCACCAAAAACGTGTCTGTAGCGTTTCTGGTTTCGGAGAAACGACGGTTTTTAGGAACACTTCACGGCAATCCACGGCTGGCGCGGACGGCAGGTGGCAACCGATCAGGCCGCTGATCACGCGCAGCGGGCCTAGACTGTTACATTAACGGAACTCTACATCATACATATATTCTCAAAGCACACATAACTACATAGTGCTGTGCTCAGAATTACACAAAGGACACGTCTGTTTCAGTTTTATGTTGTTACGCGACATCATTTTGTAAATATTAGCATATCAAACTGCAGTAGTTCGGTTTTCGGGTAAATTAAACTGTTTTTCTAAAGCATTGACCTTTGACTTCGTTTTGTGGGGTCAATCATTGACAGCCGCATACAGCTTATTACCAATCGCGAGATCTCGCTGAGACCAATCCACCGGCTCTTTCCCGCGCGACCCTATCT